ATCCTCTTCCGCATCCTCAAGGCCATCCAAGCCTTCCCGCCCAACGACAGAGCTGCCCACCTGGACCGCCGGGGCTGCAGCCGCGTGGAGGGTGGCAAGACGGCCTTGCATGTGGCCTGTGAACTGGTGCGACCCGAGTGCTTGCTCCTGCTGCTGGGGCACGGCGCGTCGCCCTGCTTGCGGGACAGTGCTGGGAATACCCCCCTCGACACCTTGCTGCAGCAGATTTCCCACACGCCGGCAGCCAACATGCGTGCCAAGCTCCTCTGCCTCGACTGCCTCTTCTTCTTCGTGCCTCAGGACCTCCAGTTCGCAATGAAACAGCAACTGTTGGACAACCGGCAGCAGTGGCAGGACCTCCTGGGGGAGAACATGTTCCAGTGCCTGGTGGGCTTAGCTCCCCCGTCGCTCTTTGTCGGAGCCATGCGTGTCTTGATCAGGACCATTTCACCTGAGCATTTCCCAGAGGCTCTGGACAATCTGCCTCTGCCTCATTTTCTAAAGCCTTTGGACTTGAAACTGGAGAGCTAGAGGGGGGTGGTATGAAAGCCTCCTGCTCACCTGACAGAAATAGACTGTTGTGCTAAAAATGTATCAGTATACAAAGCTGCTAATGTGGTGGCCAAGTATCTGTTTTAATTAGAACTGTATTTTTTAAAAGAATTGTATCTGGCACTTTACAATATATTTTATTTAAAGATCCTTGTGGTGAGGTGAGGTCTGCACTGCATTTTTTAAAAACACTATATGGCATGTACAAATGAGGGTATGTGGGAAAATATATTTGTAAACACATCTCAATAAACCAGTGGCAGATGTGATCAAAATACAAAGTGAACACTTCAAAACCCTGAAGTGGTTTGAGCCTTGGAAAAGTGTGTGCCGGGGAGGGGGAGTATCTTTTTGTTAGGATTTCCCTGTTACATAAGCCTCACGGTCCTGGAACAGGATGACTCCTTTTTTACAGCTCTCCTAATACATCTTGGCAGGGATGAGGGGTTTTTTTTAAAGGCACAGATGAAATCTTCCTCATCTTGCATACAAGACCAAAGAGAAGCCAGATCCTATTACAACTTCCCCAACAAGGCTGGCAGGGATGTGCAGCTCAACAAAATATATTCTAAAATATGCATAAATAACAGTTGGCTTCCTTGCAAAGTTCTCTCTGATCCTCTTGGAGAGTCAAGATGCTTGCTGTCAGGTAGGGGAGGACAGGAGCAGGAGTACGCATATTGCTCTGGCCAAAAACATTCCTGCCCTGGCAGGAGGCAGGAAGGCACGGTGCAGCCCTGCTGCGATTGCTGTGGGGGTACAGAGCAGGAGGTCCAGCCTCCTCCTGCCTGCCCAGAGGGATTGATGTAGGCATGGCAATGGCCCAGGATTCTAGTGCAGCTTTTTTTGGTGGATTCTAGCCCCCCCACTGCCGGTCCCCAGCAGGATGTGGTGGCTTAGGCTCAGCTGAGAGAGCTGTGCCAGTCTCGGTGTCCACTCTGGGTGCTCAGATATCCAGCCTTCCCCCAGCTATCCCTTCAGAGATGCTCCAGGACACACAAAGCACCTTCACAACTGCTTCACATCAAAAAACCCTTTAGGGTAATATCCTACCTTTGACAGTTGTGTTTAGACACATCAAAGTCCTGAGCAAAGGGTACAACTTCAGTCCTTTGCTCTGCAACCTTTACTCCACAGCGCTCTGGGCAGTCACGCCACTTACTTCCCTGTAAAGCTGGCACTGCCCTGCCTGCTCTGCAGGGAGCGAGCTGTGCCGGCTCCACCAGCATTGCAATGATCGAGATCTCCTCGGCCACAGGGCTGCAGCTTTGCCTCTCTTGTTGTAAGTTATCAGTGAAACTGCAGGGTTTTGTTTCAGTGCTTATATTTGTAGTCAGGGAGTTATTTGCCACTTGAACTATTTCAGCACAGTTGTTCCCTTTGGGGTGATTAAGGAACTGATGTGCTCAGAGAGAAGAGGCCACGTTCAAGGCACAGATTTCTTTATTTGTGAAGTAATTTAAAAAAACCAACCCACAGAATGAGGCACTATAAGCTGTTCATGCTTCAGCAGAACAGAGTGGTATTTAATCCAAAATAATCTCCATACTGCACGCACAATAAAAGATAAGCCATACTTCTGAAATTTGAGATGCAACAGAAAGAAGATTGCTATTCTTAGACTGATATGATGGCACTGAAAATGTTTCCTAGAAGAGCAAATGTTCCTTTTTCCCCAAGAAACCAAGCTGATACATGCTCAAAATATTTACCATGGGAAATTTAGGTCCCTTGCTAGAAAGCATCAAACAACTCTTAACTGTTCTCTTCAGCTACCTTGTTGATAATAAAAATACAGAAATCCAAAGAACTAATCCCCCACTTAGCTGTTAATAAAAAATAAAATAAATTTTTTTTAAAAAAACAGAAAACCCCAAACCACACTTAAAAATCTATGTGCTAAATTCTTTATTTGAGTACATTTTCCCCATTGCCTCTGTAATAATGGTGTGGAAGCATCTTCCAAAACAGATGAGAAGTAAAGAAGTCAGGTCTAACTTGCTCATGGAAAAGTGTCTGGAGGTGGGGGAAGAGACAGAGCTGGGGGTGGGAAGAAAGGTTCATCAGCCCTGCTGACAAATACATAATGAGATTGAGCAGTGGGGAGTTGGTCAGTTGAACTGAGCGCTGGAAGACGCTCCAGCTCCCAAGCCGTGAGGGTAATTACATGCTGGAACCGCATGACAGGCTGGGCAGGACATCCTACACCTTAAAACCAGCCCGTTCACAACACAAGAATTCAAGGCCACTGCCCCTGTGATTCCCTGCAACCCCCCACCCGCTCTCAGATAAGTCACTGGAGCAAACAGAAAGGGTCCTCTCAATATGTTGGGAGGGGTCCAAAGTCAGCTAATTGCTGTGCCTCTCCTGTCATTCTAGGGCAGAAATTGAGCCTGTTGCTGAGCCCACGATGGGATTGCTCTGCTGCAGGTCACTGACAGACTTCGCTACATGTGGCTCATTGATGTGTCTGGGATGCTTAATCTGGAGAGGCTGAGAGGAAGTATGGGCAAGCTACACCGGTGACTGCACAGATCACTCACCCAGCTGGGTCCAGGCTTGTTTTTCAAACAGAGTCACAGCTTGGAAAAAGGCTGGGGCTTCTCGGCTTTGGAAACAGAAGTCCTTTGTTTATAGACCAAGCCATAGAGGCACCAGCTTCCCTCAGACTGACTTGCCAACATGTCTCTGTCCTCTGCCACCTTTGGAGCACAGTAGAGTGCAGGCTCCACAGCCTGATCAGTTCTCCATCTCTTGACCCGAAGGCTGCCAGCAAAAATTAGTGCCAGTTGCAACACCATTGCCAAGCTTCATAAAGCAAACATGGACAGTCATGACGTCTCTGCAGAAGGGGACTGCCAGTGCTAGAGTCAGGGAGCTGGCCACAAAGGTATGGGAAAGAAGATTCACCAAGTCCTAACACCATGAGAGCACAGGGGTAAGGATATATATCTAAAAGCTGCTGTGTTACCTGCACGGGTTAATCTAGTCACACAAGGCAAATTACTCATCTGTAGGAAATGCTTTCAAAAGCATATAAGGCAGTAGATGGAGCGAGGATTCCTGAAAAGCTTAGCTACAGCCAGTTCCTCTAAAAGGCTTTCTATCATGAAACAGTGATGAAATATAAAAAATATTTCCCTTGTGTTGTTCAAGCACTTTCAAAACAAAATATTCATACACTACCCACTGTTTAGTACAAAGTGGTTGTATTTGCTGTGACAGGTAAAAAAGGCCTGAAACACTTTATTTGAAAAGCAAGGGAGAGAGGAAGTACTGGGTTACTTTTATTTTTGACTCTTTGCAATTGACTCCTCTCTGCAGCTTCCTTAAATATTTCAAGTTTAGCCTGTCTAGACTCTGCTGAAGGAGCTGACTAATTTTGAGTAACTCGTTTAAAAGATGCATTTAGGATCTTTAATAGCTGTCTTTTATCCAGAATATTAAGTAGTTAAAGAATTTAAATTGACATGAACACAAAACTAGGTGGTTCAAATAGTCTGAATGATCCCTTACTATAACATTTGTCTCAGTCTTGCTGTCTGACATATGGTCCTGCCATAAATCGGCATCCTTGTTCTTGCCATGGTCACAGCCTGGTATGAGCATTGCCAGAGGTGGGCACCTTAAATTTGGCAGAAGATGCAGATATTAAGCACAGAAGATGCAGATATTAAGCACACCTGTAAATCACTCGCTTCACGAATATGCATAGATATGGAATATCAAGCTTAACACTCAGCATCACACAAAGAATATCTGCTGCAAATTGGTAAGGGTTTCATACAGTTTCAGAGGGAGAGAAAAAGGGCTGTTAATGAACAGGCTCTTCTGCGTGGACAGGTCTTGCAGACTGAGGCAGGCATTAAGGAAAGGAGAAGAGGAAGCAGGAAACCACTGAGAGAAAGACCTGCGGGGAGAGGAGGCCTTGGCTATAGGTAAGGCTGCAATTACAGGCTGGTTTTGACAATGAAGCTGAAAATAGCAAGGACGAAGATCCAGCACAGATGCACAGAAAGACAGAGACTAGAAACAGGACAGAGTGCCAGGTTTGTTTCCTAATCCTTATTTGTCCTATGTCTAGTGTTCAAGTCATATGGGTTTCTGACTTGCAATATAATGAATCTATTGACATCAGCAGATCATTGCGCATTGCAACACCCCATCTTCAGATCAATGCTCCCAACTAGACAAACAAGGCACCCATGCCATGTGCTTAAAGTTTAACAGCACTGTAAATCCTTGCAAACCAACTTTCATAACACTTGTGTTAATAACAGTACTTCCATCACTGGTTAGTGTCAGTACCTGTCTGAGGTTAGATCACCATTAATTCCCAGCCTGGCTTCAGTGGTCTCTCCTCCACCTACAAGGTGTGAAAAAGAAACTCTGCCTATTACTTTTTCAGACCACATCAAACTGTCCTCTATTATCATGCACAAGAGTCACATCTATGGTGCAGCAAGGCTGCTGTCTGCACCAATTTACTCCTGCTTTTTCCACACATGCATGTGTAGCACAAGAAGAGACGGAGCAGAGCTCTCCTGCAATACATAACCCATCAGTCATAGCAGAAAACAGAAATACTGTTTGCAAAAACATCAGAGATCCCTCACTGTTGCTAAGAGAAATGGATCCAAGTTCAGCTGAGATAAAAAGGTTCCCCTACTTGCCCTAATAAACTCTGGAAGGACCCATATCTCTTTGCTCAGTGGTTTATCTGATAAATGGAAAAACCACATAAATCAGCAAAGCAAATCTTCAGAAGCCTCAAATGATGAGAAACTCATTGCATTTAGGAATTATTGCTAAAGTCAGAAGAGTCTAGTCATCTAGTCTAAACTGTGTATGAGAGAGGCCAGCAAGTCCCATGTTGGGCCTATCACATCTGATTGATTTGCAGCATCTGCTTTAAGTCCAACCTTATTTTATAGATTTTTAAACAGTGAAGCATCCAAGGTTCTCTGAGGAACTTATGGCTGAGCAACGCAAAGGTCCTGTCCAGATCATCTTAATCTCTCATCTGTACCTAAACCACAAAACATCCCCTGCCATCACCCCTGCCTCCTTCTGTAGGAAAAAATTAATCACTTCCTAATGAAAATGCGATAACTGACCAGAATGGATCTGAGTCAGCAAGGAGGGAGGCAGAGACCCACTTCAGAGAAGCAGGGAAGGCAGAAAGGGGCTTTGATCAGTCCCACACTTGGGCTTCAGCTCTGTAAGCAAGGTTTCAGCAAGAGACTGAGCCAGTAAGTCAGGACCCTGGGT